CCCGGGGTGTTGGGGGGACCGAGAGTTTGGGGAGCCCCGAGGGGTGGGAGCTGCTGGGTGGGCAGAGCCCGGGAGCGCCTGGCCGTGCCTCAGTTTCCCCAGGCGGGTAAAACACGGGGAAAGGGCGATCTCCCCCCAAACCCCGTGGGAAATCCGAGGGCAGAGGGTGGGCTTGAAACGCCACCGGGTCCGGCGGGCGATGGCTAACGGGAGCTTGGAGAAGGCGCCGGAGCCCCCCGCCACGGGGACGTCTCCGGAGCCCACGTGCGAGGGCAGGAACGGGTGCCCCATGGCAGCACTTGGCTTCGTGCATCGCCCCGTCCTTCCTCCTCACCCGGCCGCTGCCCGTCCCCTGGGCTCTAAAGGATGAAATTCCTCCATTCCCGGAGAGACGGATCCCTTTGGCGAGGCCAGATCCTACCAGGAGCAACAGAGTTGGGTGTAAAAATTCCCAGCTCCCACCAGCCGAAGCTTTATCGGTTCCGGAGCGGGGAAGCATTTGAGCCATAAATATACTTTGCCGACCCCAAGCCCAGCACCGGATCCAAATTGTCCCACGGAGCTTTTCTCCCCTCCTGGAGCGGCTTTGTCCTCGCCAATCCCCAGGCAGGAAGCATGTGATGTACCAAGGCCCCCGCCACGGGACAGACGGACAGACGGACGGCGGTTTGGCCTCAGTTCCCCCCCACCTCCCTGTCTCTGTTTTCCACTTCCCCACGAGTCTCCTGAGCCTCCGTCTGCTCCGAGCGAAGGAGAAAGGAAGTTGCTGCCAGAGAGAGCGGCTTGATGGCAGCTCGATAAAGAAAAGGAGGAAATGGAAGGCGAGACAGATGCTCCAAAATAACCCCCCCTTCCTTCTTCTCCTCCTCCTCTCCGTGCTGCAGCTGCCTCCCCCCCCCCGGGGCACGGTAATCCCGGGGGGATTCCTTGATATGGCACCAGATCAGCTCCCCCATCCCGAATCAGCACCGGGCAGCACCCCGGGATTGCATTGGGGGTGTCACCGCCCCATCACTGTGCCGGACTACCCATGGTCGGCACCCCTCCATGTGCCAGGATCCCATTCCCACGCGGTGCCGGCAAACGGGAAGCGCCGGCGGGATTCACCACCTACGCCTGGGGTTGGCATCGCCAGAGCCCCCTCGGATCGTCCTTGCACAGACACGTTGGAGTTGCCGGGGCAGATCGGCGTTCCCAGGCATCGGTGCATACTGGATTTGGTGCAAAGGAGAAACCAAAAAGCTTCTGCTCCTTCCCGCAGGTGCCCGCGCCGAGGCTGCAGTCGCGGCGCGGGCACCTGCGGGAAGGAGATTATGGGATAGGGGAGTCCAGATCCCAGTGCCAGAGATGGTGGGGACAATGATGGGGACATGGCCGAGCGCTTGGCAGCGCCGCCGGCACGAGCGCCAAGAGCGAGCGGAGCAAGATGCACCATGCGGTGCCCGGCCGAGGCGATGCCAGCGTTCCCCGCAGCATCCCATTCCCGGAGCCGTGCTGGCCGCGATTTTTGCCATCCTTGCCAAGAAATGAGTTTTTCCTCCGGCGAGGTGTTTACTCAGTGGCTTCCTCCCCGGCCTCACCCCGCTCGGCACACACGCGCCGGACCTGGCGGCTCTCGGTGCTGTTTGCACCCATGGCAACGTGCGAGGGACGGCTGTTGCAAAAGGCGGCGTGCGTCCTTCCTCCTCCTCCTCCTCTGCCACCCCAGTGCTGGTAAAATGGGGTCTGGAAGCTGGAGGGGTCACGGATGGTTGGGGGACGGGCTGGTGACGGCGGTTGGGCTCTCCGGTTACATCCCCGTGCCGCGCCGGCGCTCCGACCCGTCTCCTGTAATCCAGCGCGGCAGCAGGGTTTAATTAATTAATGGGGGTTGGAGGCATGGGGAGCTGGTGGAAGGCAATGCCGGGGGACGGAGAGCGGAACAGCGGGATCCCATCCACCCCCCCGACGTTTGGCCGGGGATTCGGGGGGACTGGGGATGCTGGGGTGCAGAGCAGGGGCGTTTTCTGGAGCAGCGGGAGGAAACGGCACATGGGATAGAGGGAAAACCAGGGAGATCTCCACCATTAAATGTTTACCCCAACTGGGGAGACGATGCTTCTGTGTCAGAGGAAACTTGTAGCAAAACAGCTACAAGTTAATATGGCCCTGGCGAGGAGGAAGAGGAGGCAGAGGTGCTTCTGCTCTCAGCTGGAGCTTCGCAGAGCCCTCCCCTCGCGCCGCACGCTTGCTCCGCGCTGCCCCATAAATTATTTAAGTGCTTTTGCTTTCCCGTATGAAATATTCAGCCCGCTGCCGAGGGAGCTGGGGAGGGCTTGGGGACGGGGGGGGACACGAGCACACAGAGCCGCTGGTGTGTACCCGGTCAGGGGAGAGGGGTCTTTAGGGAAGGTGGAAATAACCCTGGGATGGCGTCGCTGCTGGATTTGGCCCCTCTGCCATAAATGAGCTGCCAGCTGGCGCTCACGCAGTGGCTCTGCCATGGCACGTGCCGGCGCCACCGGCCCCAGGTGCTGGCAGGATGACAAGGTCTCATGTTCTGCTCCCCCCCCGCACCCCAGACAGGAGCTTTAATTGATGCTTTTTAACGAGAGGGCTGGATTCTGCTCTTGCTTGCGCCCGCTATGGTGTAGGAGATGTTTCATGGGGGTCCCTGTTGGATGGGGGCTGAGGTTGCAGCCGGGTGTTGGATGAAATGCTCGTGGATGCCGGCCCGGCAGGGAAGAACACCAAACTTGCCGGTGGAGGTGCTGGCAGGGCTGCCTGTCCTCTGCCAGTGCTGGATTTGGCCCTCGGCTCCCCTGCCCTGCGACAGCGCGGCTGGGATGCTGCTGTGCCCCGGCGCTGGCACGTGTCCGTCCCCAGGGCAGGGACTTTAGCTGTGTCACCGCATCCCCACCTCGTGTGGGACATCTGGATGTCCCAGCCTTCAACTGAGCCCTCATGCCACCGCTCAGGGCTGCAAACCCCACCCCAAAACCTGCAAAATGGGTGGCAAACCCCTCAAAAAAGGGCTGTGACTGTCCCCAAAGCCACCGTTGGGACCACAACCCCGCCGTGCTCTTCCGGAGCAGGGAGGGACTCGGTGAAAGCAACGCCCGACTGCTTTTTTTCGGTAGATGAAGCTGTTTTTTTGAGGGCGTTTTCATTAAAAAGAAGAAGGAGGTGGGGGGGGAAACAAGCCCTGAGCAGGGCTGGAAACTTCAGCGACAGGAAGGAAACGGGGTGGTTTATTTCGGTCTCGAGTTTGCTCGTCGGGGCAAGGCTTGCCTCTTCCGTGTGCCGATAGCAGCCCCTCCATGAACAATGGGGTCGCGGGGCCCTTCCCAGCAGGAAAACGGCTCGTTCCAGTGAAATCTCCCAGTTGGTGCTGAGTCAGCAGGTCCTGGTGGGACAGAGCGTGGTGCGGAGGGTGCCGGGTTAACCGGCCCGGTGCTGAGCGGGAGCGAACGTACCGGGAGGTGAGCTTGGGTTTCCTTGGGGTTTGCAGCGAGCGACCTGCAAAACAGCCCATGGGTGCTGGAGAAGGAGTAGGTCACATTTTTGGGGTCCAGGAAAGACCTCACCCTGCCCCACCCCTGCTTCGTGCCTCAGTTTCCCCTCACGAGCGATGCTCATCTCCCCGGTCCCCGGCAGGAGATGGCTGCGGGGCAGCCAGGTGTTATTCAGTGCCGGGAGCGGAGGGTTGATCTGTTATTACAGTCGCTAATTGGGAGCTGTGGGCGCGTGGGACAGCTCACAAGAGCCAGCGCTTCCTATTTTTTTATGGGCTCCGTAGGTGGAGTTTGCACTTGCTTTATGGCTGCGGTCGCCCAACGAAGAGCTCAGGCGTGGGAATTCCTATTTATCCGGGCACCGCTCCCGGCAGGGAACCCAGAGCACCCCACAACTGCCACGGGATGCGAGGGAGGGGGCTTCCAGGGTGCCACACCACGGCAAAGCTCTGCTCCTTCTGGAAGAGGCTGCCTGCCGTGGGCAGAGCGAGTCCCCCTTACAGCCGAGGGAGAGAAGATGGAGCCACGTTGCCTCTGCCCATCTTGCCTGTCCCTCCGGGCTCGGCTCCGGCAGGATCTCGCGCAAGGGGCTGTCGGCGTTAAATGAGCCCGACCCGCCTGGGAGCTGCCGACAGCTCTGCGAGAGCAGCCTCTGCTTTGTCATTTCTGTCTTATTAAGCGCGAGAGCCTCAGCTCGAAGCTCATGCTGGCAAAAATCAATGTTTTCACATCGAAGGAAATACTTACAAACCTCTGTGTTTTTCCTAAGGGCTGTAAATAAAGCTGCATGCAGCAGCTCGTGCGGCGCCGGTGACGGCAGCTCTGTTACTGCTCACTTAATTCACGCCCTCGCAGAGCCTCGGCCGCCCTCGGGCTCAGGGTGCCGGCGTCTGGATGATGCCAGGGAATCCGGGGCTCAGCTTGCACCGTCACCCGTGCACCGTCACCCGTGCACCATTGCCCTTGCACGACCGGCTGCAGTGAGACAGAGCCTTGGCCGCAGCAGGGTATCCAAGCCCCGTGGGAAGCCGGGGTTTGCTCTGGAGAGCCCCGGAGTGTGCTCCGTAGTGGTAGGAGCTGGATCGAGGATTCCCAGAGGGGTCTGGGACTGGGTGGCGGCTTGGCCAGGGGGGTCCGCAGGGCTGCCCGCGATGGGGACAGACTCGGTTCTGCGCTAGAACAACCGACGGGGCTGCGGACAAGAGTCTCTCCTCTCCTCTCCACATCCACGGCCGATTTATCCCCATCCGTTCTCACACCAGCAGCATCTTTTAGCTTAAATAGCTCTTCTCCCCTCCCTAGTGATGTATTTATAGCGTGATCCCATCCCTTCCCTGCTCTCGCTTTACCGGGCTGACCGTGCCACCTGCAAGCTCTTGTATAAGCAACCCCCATCTCTGCCCATCCATCCTGGCGCGGGAGCTGGTTGTTATCATGCTGTTCTCGCCTCCCCATGATTTGCAGCTCTGCGATTTCCCGGGGCAAGATGCATCTCCAGGGTCGGTGGCGTTTTATTTCACAGCAGTTTTTAAAGCTGGTAATCTGCCTGGGATGATTGATTTTGTCCCGCCGGGGTGCAGGGAGTCGGGCTGTAAGGTGAGCAAGGGGTGAGGTTTCTGGCTTGCCGAATTATTCACCTCTGTGCGATGCTCGTGCCAGCTCTGGAGGAAGCCGAGACGGCGGCAGAACGAGTCTGAGCTCTGACGGTGTGGGCGTACCGGGGCAGGCAGCGTTAGGGAAAAAAGGGCTTCAACGCACGTTAGTGGGTGCTGCAAACCGGCCGTGCCGCTCTGGCCTCAGCGGGCGCCGGGCTGTACGCCAGCACGTGGCTGTGCTGCCTGCAGTAGGTGACTCAGTCATCACCTGGATTGTCCCCAGCTCACCCTGCAGGAAATGAGTCAGGTTTTAAGGAAGAAAAAAAAAATGTTAAAATGATGAGGCAAGAGTCCTTCCTGCACAGGGAGGAGGGCGGCGCCGGTCGCAGGGGGGAGATGGGGGTGGAGGGTCGCAGGCGATGCTCAGGTAGGGAGACCTCGCTCGCCTCCGACGCTGCCCGTTGCGCTGTAGCTTCTCCCCAGAGTTCGGGGGAAGGAAGGTGGGAACACCCTGTAACTCATCCCACCAACAAAATCTGGGGCGTGAGCTCAGCTCTTGCCTGCCCTGGCACCCAGGAGCTCCTCGTGGTCTTGCCGTTGGCCAGAGATGCTCTTTCTCCTCCCAAAAGGCGGCGTGGGGAGGAGAGGGGATGGGGACTGATCCAGGGCATAGGCTGAACTGTGTGTGTGCCTCTTCCCCCTGCAGAGATGGACACCTTCAGCACCAAGAACCTGGCCCTGCAGGCCCAGAAGAAGCTCTTGAGCAAGATGGCTACCAAGACCATAGCCAACGTCTTCATTGATGACACCAGCAGCGAGATCTTGGATGAGCTCTACCGGGCCACCAAGGAGTACACCCACAATCGCAAAGAGGCCCAGAAGATCATCAAAAATCTCATCAAGATAGTCATGAAGTTGGGCGTGCTCTACCGCAACGGGCAGTTCAACCCTGAGGAGCTGGTGGTGATGGAGCGTTTTCGCAAGAAGGTGCATACCTTGGCCATGACAGCTGTCAGCTTCCACCAGATAGACTTCACCTTTGACCGCAGGGTCATGTCGGGTGTGCTGACGGAGTGCCGGGACCTGCTGCACGAGGCCGTCAACGGCCACCTGACGGCCAAATCCCACTCCCGCATCAACCACGTCTTCAATCACTTTGCGGACTATGAGTTCCTCTCGGCTCTCTATGGGCCGTCCGAGCCCTACCGCACCCACCTGAAGAGGATCTGCGAAGGGGTTAACAAGATGCTAGAAGAGGACAACATATGAAGTTGGCCAAGATGGGCCATTGGCAGTGATTGCCAGACTCTGCATCCTGTGAGACTGAAGACAGGACGTACGTCTGTTTTGACCATCACCAGGCTTGACGTCCTCTTCTCTGTAGTGCTAACTCATTTTTTCCTCATTTCTACAAAAGACTGAACCTCTTGACTTTGTCTAACCCTTGCCCAGGGTCTGCAAACCCCTCCCTGTGCTCAGCTGAGTCCTTTCCAGGTGATCCTGGGCTTCTGGGCTCCTGCTGTATAGTTTGATTTCCTTTGCCCACCAAGTGCTCTTAGCTCAGAGTCCAAGGAACTGGACTCCTCACCTTGAACTCTATCATAACCCTCCTCGGGGAAAACCAAACCAAAGACTCGCGGTGCCTAACACCTCTAAGGTGTCTCTGAGCGAGCGGGCAGTTGCTTGGATGAATGGTTGTGAGACCTTATTACCGGAGGGTTGTGGAGCCCCATGGTTGTCTTTCAGCAGCTCCACGACGTGGTGGGAGCAAATCATGGTCCAGACTTGTGCTGCCCAGCGTGAGAAGGTGCTTCTGCACCTTGCAGGCTAGCATGGGTTTTGGCCTCCTATAAGACAAGTCCTTGAGACCAGAAGGATCCCACCTCACCTGGGCGAGTGGCTGTCCCTCAGGGCAGGGAGGGAGCTGGAGGAACCTGCTCCGTCCCTGCGTCCCAGGTACACCCCTTCATCCAAGACCCAGCTCCCCCCGCGACGGTACCACTGTGATGGCTCCAATGCCTTCCTCGGTGGTTGTCCAAAGCTCTCCCTAGGATTTCATACGTTTTATGTGTCCTCGACTGAGTTCTGGTTGTTATTTTTTAGCAAACTCTGTAGCCCTGATGAGTTATTTAAATAAACTCACCTGTTTGGCCTGGGTGCTCCATGCGGTTGTTACAAAGGTGGTTGACAGCGATAAAATGAGTGCTGCCAGCAGTCGGTTTTGTCTTTTAAATGGCAATTGCTCTCTGTGACCTGGAGTTTTTACTCTCCATCCCCTGGCATCGCTGCCAGCCAGGCTGCCCCTGCTCCATGGCGCAGCAGCTCCTGGCTTTGCACAGCCAGCACTGAACTGGTGGGAGGAAACGTGGTGCAAAACCCAGCAGAAACCGATAGTAAAGGTCTGGGGTCCCGGGGGGGAGCAAATGTTGCTCCCACGCAGACACCCACACGTGCCTCTGTGCGTCCCCTCACCGCACAGCGGGAGCTAAAAAAGCACAACCCTGATAGCAGAAAGCAACGGGCAACTTTGCAGAATTCAATACAGGCACGTTGTAAAAGCGTTGTGCTCTCAGAGCATGGATGCACCAGCCGTGGCCCGCTTCCAACACGCTGATCTCACCTTTGAACACCGAAAATTGCCCTTTTAGCATACAAGACACCACACAATCTCAGCTGCCCTTATCTCCACGACCTTCTTGTGCCTCCTGTTCCATGGAATGTCTCCAGGCACGGGAGGCTGCCAACGCTCGTGGGCAGAAAGCAGCTCCAAGGCTCCCATTTGCTGCTCCCTTTCCACCGCTGGCTTGAGGCACTGATAACTTTCAGCCTTAAAGATTAAATAAAAGAAATAAAGCCCCTATCTCTGTCATTTCATAGGCCCAGCTCCAGCTATCGCAGCTAATTGAATTGCGTGATGCAGCTCGGGGTGGGGGGTAAAGCACATTTACAGGTGCACGCGGAGAAGGCGGCCAAAATCCACCGAGGTGTTGGTCCCTCGGGGAGCACAGGGTGAAGTCGGCCTTTGGTGCGCGGCATTCGAGAACAGACGTTCCCATCTCCCCCCCACGGGCTCACGGCAGCTGTCAGGTATGTGCTGAAGAGGAGCCAGAGCTGGAAACAGCTCGGTGGAGTTATCAGCAGATGCGGCGAGCAGGCAAAGCGGAACGGGGCTGATGGATGCGGTGGCAGCGGCTGCTGCGCTGACAGCCAGAAACTCTTTGCTGTTCTGTTCTCGAGGTGCCTGTTGGCATCAGCTGCAAGATGCTCCTTAATTGCATGAAACATCTCTGCTCAGATGAGCCCCGACTCACGGCTGTTCCCTTTGTCCCCAGGGTTTTGTACATCCCAGGACCACGCTTAACCCACCAAATGCCCGGCACCAGTTTTCCTTCGCGTGTAGGTGTCTGATCTGAAACTTCTCCCCCACACCCCATGTGCAAACACCCACCTTGTTCCCCAACTCTTGCCTTTTTGTCCCAGGGAAGCCCTGGAGAGCACACTCCCTGCTAGAAGAGCCATCTTATGGCCTGGGTTTCCCATCCCAACTCTGGCTGTCCAAGTCTGGGAAATAAGTCCCTTCAACTCCCTTTGGTCTGGTTCCCTCCAAGTGACTGGTTAAACAGGGAGAAAGGTCAGAGACCTGCAACATCGGCACCCTAAATGTGGCTTGGAGCTCAGGTAGGAGCACACTGGGGACACTCCTGGGCCCTGCAGGTGATCCGCAGATCTAGAAGGAGCCGCACAGCAGAGAAAGAAGCATTTAGGAACAGCCTGGAAAACAGAGCTTGTAAAATCCCCAGTGCAGAGCACCCCCAGACTGCCAAAAAACCAGGAATCCCCCGCCAAAATGGGCAAAGCAGCTACCAACAACCACAACCATTACCAGGCATCAAAAGCACTCATCATGACAGTGCTGGGTTATGCAAACTTACAGCCGGAGCCTTGTTCTCACATGCTGGGACTCCTCTTGGGGGGGCAGAACCCCCATAAACCCTCTGCAGCCTCCAAACTCCTGTGTAGCATCTCGGCTCCTCCTGGCCAAGCAAACGTTGAGGGTCACACCACTCGCTGGGCATCCAGTTGGAGAAGGCAGGAGTTACAGAGCAGAGCAAACTGAGGCCAGAGCGTTATGCTTTATTTCTTTATTTGTGTTGTATTTACACAGGAAAGGAATTCCACATTCCCTCACTGTAATTACTCTAGATAAGAAAAAAATCACTTCTGTACGTAGAAAATAGTCCTGCAGCTGTACTGAGACATGAAAGTGTTGCTTGGATTGATTCCTGGGTTGTGTCAGAATAAGCAGCTCTGCCTTCCCCATGTCAAGTTATCCCAGCCCGCACTCTGCACTAGGGCAGGTCCAGAACATCCTCCCCAGCAAAGCCAGCGATGGTCTTCGGTAGCCGCACTCAACAAGGAGTCAAATAGCTTTGGCCAACTCTATCCCTTCCTTCCCCCTCCCACCCAATTTAATTATTTCCTCTTGTCACGCTTGCAGAGAGAGAAATCCTGTCTCCCCTCCAGAGACTACAGAGTTAACAACTTTCCTTCAGCAAACCATGTTTAAATCCAGCCACTTATCTTTCTGCATTGCTCTTCCTAGCAAGGGAGATAAGGAGCCCCCGTTCGAGGAGAGCTTTACCATATTCAGCAGATCAACCAAGCAGAAAGCGGGCGACAGAATGGCTGGCTGCAGATCAGGAGTCTCAGAGGAGGTTTCCAGCTGCAAAGCACATTGTTACTCTGACACAAGACAGAATGCATCTGTCTTAACACCTCCAAGCCCCATTTGTGTTGGACCCTAGCACATTTCAATATGGAAAACATAAAAGGTTTGGCCAACCAAAAAAACCCGCAGTTAACAAGTAATCCTCTTTATCTGCCATGCTCTTCTGGCCAAAACACCCGGCCCAACACTGGCCTCAGGGTCACAGCTCGTCACGGGGTGTTTTTGCTACAATCATGAGTTTGGACAGTTCGAAACGGAACTTGCCTTCCCTATGAGACACTGGAAAGAGAGAAAACAAGCATAGGATAAACAGATGGTAAGGCATGAACAAAACAGCCCTGCTGGTTCCTTTCCAGGATGATAAAGCCAGCAAGTCGGGCATTGCACTTCCTTCTCATGCGCGCGACAAGCATGTTGTGATAAACCCGTTCTTCCCCCAAGCTAATTGAACATTTACACCAGAACGGGACCCACAAAATCCTGCTGCCAGCTATGGATCAAGAGCACTGTACCCCTGGCTCCATAACATGCGCTGTCCTCCTATACATTGTCACCTATCTGCATTAAGCTTAAATCCTCATCTCCTGGCAGACAGCCAGGCTTGTCTCCCAAACCAGCCCCCTTCTCACATAGTTCTCTCAGTCACAAACCTGTTGTTTCGGTGATTTCAAATTCTTCCTGTTTTAAGGGGATGTCACTTTGTCCACCCACTGCAGCTTGAGACTGAAATGGGAAGGAAGAAGGTTTAAGCAGTTGAGGCAATCCAAGAAGCTACTGTATTTAAAGCAAACAAACAAACAACAGCACATTTTGAAAAAGAACGAATTCGTGTTTTAATAATGTGAACTGAAAGAATTAAGTGCACAAAGGAAATCTGAAGGAAAATCTCTGGCTATTTTTCCATTTCCTATTAAAGCACAAACTTGTATCCTTCGGGTGACTGAAAGCCTCACCACTGAAGACTGGGAAACGGAAGAATGAACCAGACAAAAGCACCAGAAGAGGTTTTATTTACTTCATCACATGCAATTTGTTGAGACAAACCAAGATTCCCCTTGTGCAGTGCACCCTGGCAGGATGGTGTCTTTTGGACTCACCAACGCTGGCAAAGCCAGCAGCAAACCGATGGTGTTGAGGGAGCAGAAATAAAATGGCGCAGGAGAGCCTACCTGCAGCCACTCTCCTCACTGCCACCACTCTCTAATTAGGGATGTGGCGGAGTACATTTTATTGCACAGACTTCTAATAAATGTTTTCCATGTTCAATTCATGTTTTATAGCAGCCTCCCACATGCCTGCTTCCAAGTGATCAGCTGGGACTTACATAAGCCATGGCATACTCTATCTTGGCTCCTTTCACTTCAGCTTTAAACTGGGTAAAGAAGAGATAAGACTTCCCTTGGGGCCTGAAACAAGAAAGCAGAGTCTTTGACATCGGCAGAGAGGGTGGAGGTGCAGATGAGCTCAGGATTCATGCCTCCTTCCCTCTACAGCCACCTCCGGCTCTCTTGTAGCTCCATCTAGTGAGGAGGGCAGAGAGGGGAGAACACAGCATTTACAAACCACCACCTGGCTAAAGAGCCCACCCAGAGTCGCAGCATCTCTCGGGAGAGGAAAGCCCTCTGGTGCTGCCCTGCAGAGAGGCAGACCCAGCCAGGAGGCAGGGTCCTTAGCCCAGATCCCACCTGCCTTACTGTTGCTTTTGCCTTGGAGAATTTGGGATTAAAGAACACACCTCCAGACAGAGCAGGAGAAGAGCAGGTTGTCTTCACTGACTCCAATATTCATCTGCCATTGCTGCAGAGGGGAAAGGTCCAAACAGTTAATGTGGGTAAGAGTTTCGCACTTCCCGCTCACCCCTGAGGCCAGTCACCTCCCCTCCCAGCTGCAGGCATGACAAGTTTCAACCGTTCTAAAATAGCACAACATAACTACACAACACTTGCCGACGGCCCCTTTTACTTTGTGTTGCACAAAGGTCAAGGCCTCCTTGCCCTCTCCTCTCCACAATTTCATTAGTACAGTCGCAGAAAAGAGTCAAAGTCTCATTTCCCTTTACGCTAAAAGAAAAGGACCCGATTCTAACAGCACTGGCAGATAATAAAGTACAAGCTGTGTATCTGCACAGCACTTATTGCAGCAGCAATACAAGCTGCAAAAAACCTTCAAGCCTCCTAAAGAACACATGAATTGCTCCTACAAGGTCCTTCCTACCAGTTGGGCTATGAAAATATCACTCCCTGCTCTCCAGAGACA